CTGGGATCAGTACTGTGAAAAGGATGAAGTGGGGCGATGGGAGCAGCAGCTGGTAAAAGAATAATAACAACATATGCATGAGGACTTCCCAGATTCTGAGAGCTTTGCATGTCAGTACATATGTGACCCTCACAACATTGTTATGAGGTGGGCACTAGTATTAGGAACTGAGGAACAGAGGTGTCAGATAGCCTGCCCAAGGTGATAGCTAGTGTGACCCTTGCTCATCACAATTTGGTCCTGCTGCTTAGGGGAGGGCTTTTCCTGCTCTGTCCCCCATTCATCCACAGTGTGGCTGATCTAGCCAATGAGAGAGCCTGTTACCCATTCTACCCTTCTCCTGTGTTCAGAGGCTGGAAAGCTAAAAGCAGCACTCCACAGATTTTTTCCTGGAGTTGGGCTCTGGATGCTAACTGAGTTTTGAAAATTAGAAATATTTGCATAAGGACTGGGTAGAGCTCAGTGGAAGAGTGTTTGCGTAGTATGCATGCTTGCCACACTGCAAAAAAAAATGTTTTAATAAATTAAAAAATGGGAAGTAAGAAGGAGGCCGCCTTCCTGCTGCTTGTGAACATTTCTGTTGCTATACCCTGTCTCTGATTTCCTGAGTACCAAGAAATTGCTGGTAGGACTGCAAATTGATGTAATCACTTTGGAAAATAGTATGGAGATTCCTTAGAAAACTTGGAATGCAACCACCATTTGACCCAGTTATCCCACTCCACAGTTTATATCCAAAGAACTTAAAATCAGCATACTACAGTGATGCAGCCACATATTGATGCAGGCACGTATTGATGATCATAACAGCTCAACTCATAATAGCTAAACTATAGAATCAACCTAGGTGTGCTTCAAGAAAATGTGGTATATATACACAATGGAATATTACTCAGCCTTAAAGATAAGTGACATTATGGCATTTGTCAGTAAATGTATGGAACTGGAGATTCTCATGCTAAGTGAAATAAGACAATCCCCAAAAACCAAAGGCCAAATGTTCTCTCTGATACTTGGATGCTAACACACAATAAAGGGGCAGGGAAGGTAGAATAGAAATTCATTGGATTAGACAAAGGGGAATGAAGGGAAGGGAGGGAGGATGGGATTGGGAAAGACAGTAGAATGAGTCGGACGTCACTTTCCTATGTTCATATATGAATACAGTGTAACTCCACATCATGTACAACCACAAGAATGGAAAGTTATATTCCACGTATGTAGAATGTGTCAAAATACTCTCCACTGTCGTGTATAACATGTATATCTAAAAAGAACAAATAAAAAGAAAGAGCTGGGGTGGGGGGCTGGGGTTGTGGCTCAGTGGTAGAGCGCTTGCCTAGCACATGTGAGGCCTTGGGTTTGATCCTCAGCACCACATAAAAATAAATAAATAAAATCAAGGTATTGTATCCATCCACAATCACAAAAAAATATTTGAGAGAGAGAGTGTAAGAGAAAGAGAGAGAGATGGCTGTGGAGGCAGCAGCAGCCCTTCCGAAAGCAGGGCCTGATCATAAACATAACTAACTCCATGTTGTCTGGCTCCCTCTGACCTGTTCTTTTCTGAGTGATTCTTTCCCTTGGCTTATGTTAAATTCCGGGATCATGAACCCAACAGATAAACATCTAGTGACAAAAAAACAAAACTTCCCCCTGAGCCCAGGCACCTTCCTTATTTCTAATAAGCTGCCGCATGACCAGTTCCAGGATAATGATCAACCAGATCATGACCTCACCAAGACGGCCAGCTCTGCACACCCCCTCTGCTCTTGCCTGTCTCTTCCCTATTACCCACAAAGCTATTGCTGACACCCCAAAGTCAGCCCTGAGACCTGCCTTCCCGGTGCTACCCTGAGAATAAAGGCCCCTTCCTGCTTCACGGCCGCTTTCCCTGTTTGATTTTCTATTCAGGGTGAGCAGCAGGGCTGGCCCTGTTGGTATCCACCTCCCCTCTGGGGTCAAGGCCTTTGCCCAGGATTCTGGTAGCTTCCTGACCTTTGAATGGTGCCTCAGCTGTCCTGGCCATTCCCCTGAGATCTCCCAAGGAGTCCAGCCTACAGCCGGCTACTCCAGTCTCAGTGACTCAGTTTAGTGACCTCTTACCTACAGGAAGTCCCTTTCTGTTCATAATACCTGGAGTATATCAGAGAGAACATTCGGCCTTGGGTTTTTTTTTTTTGGAATTGGCTTATTTCACTTAGCGTGATGGCCTCAAGTTCCGTCCATTTACTGGCAAATGCCACAATGTCATTCTCCTGCCCTGAGCCCTGACTGATGCTCTTCTCTTCTTTCTCTTTCCTTCCCTTCAACACTGGCCATCAGGGGAAGCAAGTGGCAGATGGAGAGGAGGAGGCAGGAGAGAAATGGGGCAAATCCACCCCTTCCTTCCTTCCTCCGCACATTTGCTGCACACCTGTGATGCTCTAACGGCCAGGCCACACACCTCCTCCTTCCACCCCGCCCCCAGTGACTCTTACTAGGGAGGATCCACAAGGGTACAAAACGCGTGAGGAAGGGGTTTATGGTGTGCCATGTCTGCAGTCTGCATATTCTAGGCCTTCTCCCTGGAATGCCCCGCTTCCTTCTCCCACCTACCTGACAGGTTCCCAGACCCCTGTTCAGACACCACTTCCTCCCCAGAACCAGAACCTGAATCCACAGCACTTAGTCACAGAATGGGGAGCAAGAGTAGCATTGGGAAGACTAGAGAGGGGAGGTGACGAGGTCCCAGCAGGACAGGCCCAGGGAGCCTTCCTAGGTCAGCCAGGGGCTCAGTTATTAAAGTGCAGGTCACGCAACTCTGCCAGAAAGAAGCTCCGACTTTTCTCAGGAGGGAATTAGTCCACTGGGTTCTGCTCACTTACCTTGGCAAATAGGGAACGAGTAGGAACCAGAGCGGCAGGTGTCACACCCCGGGCCCTCGACCCCAGGACGGCACAGACACCTTCCAAGGTCATCGCAAATTTCAGGGAGAACACCTTCCAAGTTACAGTCACACCCTGCAAAGGACAAGAGGATGTTCAGAGGGGGCCACCCCCTTCCCTGCCTTGGCTAATTTCTCCCTTCCTCCAGACTTCTGTGGTGGAAACACAGGTTATGAATGATCTATGGCTTATAAACATTCTTAATCCAGAAGACAACATCTTAAAGGGAAATAAATATTCAGGAAAAGTCAGAGATACCAATTTAATAGATTCTCAGATAACGGCAATTGGGAATTAAATATATATATATACCTTCCACCTTCCAATTCCTATTCCATGCCAGATGTGGCTTCGGCGGCTTCCCACGGACTGTCTGACTCAGTGCTCCAGACACAAGGCCTTTGTAGCAGCCACACTTCTTCAATGTCCCATTCAAGCACTTTCCTGCCTCAGGACCTTTGCTCAGGCTATTCCCTCTGCCTGGCATGCCCCTTCCCTGCCTCCTGACACAATAGCTCTTTGTCACCTCTCAAGTGTCAGCTGTATGTCAACTCCTCAGAAGGTCTCCCTGAGCTGTCTGTATATATAAACAGCCTCCCCCTTTTTTCTCCTTATTCTTTATCTTAGGTTCTCCTTTTATCACACTTTGGCTTTGGAAATCACTGATTGACTTGTGGCTTTCTTTGGCAGAAAGAATGAGGCAAAAGTTCTATCCTGTGACTTCTGATCGTAGGTCAACACATACCTTGAAGTTTCCATTCTCACCTTCTGGGCATCCTGACACTATCATGGGAGAGACCCAGCCTGGTGCCATGGACCCCAGTCCCATTGCATTATATGTCTCAATAAATAAATATTTCTCAAAAACAGAGGCCTGTTCCCAGGTATGGCTGTCACTCATGTAATCCCAGAGACTTGGAGAGGCTGGGACAGGAGGATTATAAGACCAGCCTCAGCAACTTAAATCTCCAGTATCAAAAATAAAAAAAAAGAAAGAAAGAAAGAAAAGAAAAAGGCCTCTTGCTTGACTTTACTATAGATGTATTAGTTATAAAGTCAAGCAAGAATCCTGTAAGATAGGTATGCATTTAGAATTCAATAAAAAGAGGCTCATAAAGACTATTTAACTTGCCCAAGGTCACACAACCAGGAGGGCAGAATTAGGACTTGAATCCAGGTCTGGCTAATTCCAAAGCCTGCCTTCTATTATACTAAGAATACAAAACTGATTTTTTTTTTTCCTTTCAGTACCTGAGATTTAACCCAGGGACGTACTACCACTGAGGAGCATCCCCAGCCCTTTTAATTTTTTGAGACTTGAGTCTTGTCAAGTTGCTTAGAGCCTCGCTAAATTGCTGAGACTGGCCTTGAACTTGTCAATCCTCCTGCCCCAGCCTCTTGAGCTGCTGGGATTACAGGCATGCACCACCATACCCAGCCCTTTCAATTTTTTATTCTGAGACAGGGTCTTGCTAAATTACCCAACTGACCTCCAATTTGCAATCCTCCTGACTCAGCCTCCAGAATCCCTGGAATTGTAGGCATGTGCCACTGTGCCTGTCACAAATGGATAATTTTAAAACCCACTTTCAGGGGACTTCCTAGATTGTTATATGTACTTAAGCCAATCTCATATTGACAACAGTTAGATTTCTATCAATGACATTAGCATTTAAATGTGCCACATGCTCTCCTGAGTAGGATCAGGAGAGGCTCAAATATTGGGGTTCAGCCTATTTATCAAGGGAGGGAGTTTGATGTGTTTTTGAGAGATTTTCTGTAAAGGTTAAAATAATAGATAAGGTAAAAAGTTAGCTAAATCCCTCCTCTTTTCCTTTGCCCTAAACTTTTAACCTTTCAGATAAGAGATTAATAACAAAACAAAGAGGAGGAGAGGGTCCTTGTCTTATAGAAATGACCAGGACACATTCAAAACAAGAGAAGCCTTGAATCCAGGCTGGCATGAGCTGTCCCTCACAGCAACCATACAAGGTCACAACACCTACCCCTGTCCACTGAGAATGCCACTAGGAAAGAGGACATTTTACCATGAATCAGTCTGGTGTTAAACCAAGCTTAGGGATTCTGTGAGAAATCTGGACTTGACCTTGGCGCTGAGGATCCAAGAATCTCGATTTATAACCGAATCACAAAGAACTTCACATATCTCATCCATCACTGAGTCTCAGGGACCCCATCTCAGGAGAGTCCCTTGAATTTTCCTCTCCTGCCAGAGTTCAGGACCTCAACCTTGTTTGCCTGGGTAATTTTGAGATCCTCCTAAGGAGGCCGATGGACAGCATCCTATCTCAGCCTTTTCATTCATTCTTCATGGTGTGTCAAGAGTGATCTTTCAAACCCATGAAACTTTTCAAATCACTTCCCAGTTCTAAGACCCTCTAAGGCGACCCAATGCCACCTCAAGACACAATTCAAAGTTCTTCACATGTGTGACACAGTAGCTCCTTCCAAATCTTCCAGGCAACCCATTTAGCATCTTCATGCACATTAGAAAAAGGATGTCTTCCTGTCACCACAATGAGACCATCGTTATAAATCTGCAAATCTGCAACGTCTTCAGAAGTGATGGCATCCCTTAGACAAGGCACAGCTGTGCCTCACAAGCCCACATACCTGAGCCTGGCAGCTCATCCTAATCCCATAGATGTCCTTCCCTTGAACTTGTCCCCGCTTCCCATGATTCAGCCTGCCATCCCCTCTCCTATCCCTATGCCTTCTCTTCCCTGCCACTCTGCCTCTCTGCCTGGCTAATGGCTCTTTGTGCTCCAAGACACGGCTCAGAATTCTTCTCCTGCTCTGGGGAAGCCTGCCCCTCTCTCTCCCTCCCTTCCTTCCACCGTCTGGCTTCCCAGCTACCTCTCCTGCTTGCCCCCGGTTTCTTTTTTTTCCCGTTCTTGTTTTTGGTTCTTGTTTTTTCCTTTTTTCCCGTTGGGGGTTCTTGGGGGGCGGGGCTTGCTTGGCGGGGGGCGGCTTGTTGGGGCCTACTACAGAGCAGGCCTTCATCAAAGTGTAATAAATGAAGACTACACTAAATAGTTAATTCTGCAATTCTCCTCGGTAAAAAACCATTTTAGTGGAAAAGCTTCCAAACTGAGCTCTCAGGATTAGTTTATCCGTCTCTTAAGCCTTATCTGGCAGGTCTCCAAGCCAAGAGTGACATCCCCTCTCTGTTGGTCAGAGAGATGCTCAGCCTGGGGAAGGCATAGCCAGGAGAACAGGCCCCAGAGATCATCGCCCCAAGCTCTTTGGGGTTTCCCTTGTTTAGCACACCCCTTAACCCGAACCACTCTGACCTCAGAACTTTGGTGATGGCAACGGCCCATCCTTACAAAGTGATTGGGGGAATCCAAACCTTTTTAAGATCTTTATGAAGAAACCTCATTCAATAATCAAACTGGGAGCCATGTCTTTAGGCCGAACACACTGTTCATATGATCAGCCCCGTTTGCCTCAATTTCCTTGACAAAGGAGCACCCGGTCATTCTATCACCACCACTGGCTATTCTTACCCCTGCTCTTTGGACTTGGAAGAGAAGAGTGTACACAAACCCATAGGTTAGGGTCCCTCTAGAGAGTATGCTTTGGGCACCCATTCTTTTTGTTAATTCCAAAAGGAACCCTTGAAGATGTGTTTACTATAGGTTGGCTTCCTAAGAATAACTCTGAGATGGAAATATCTGATCATTTGTTCTGGAAAATTCCAATAATATACAAAGTCATGAAATGTCGTGAGTTATCTGAACAAATTCCTATCTGCAAAACTGAGCTCCTCATTTGTTTCAGCTACTCATGGCTGGGATTAGATCCAGGGTATCCCTTCTTCCACCATATTTTAGGAAGCTGCTTTGACTAGAGGATCTGTCCAGATTAACTGTAAAGGAGGAGAGGTTTATTTAGGAGTTCATGGTTTAAGAGGTCTCAATCAATATACAGCCAGCTCTGTTCCCCAGGGGCTCTAGGTGAGGCTGGACATCATGGCAGAAGAGTGTGGCAGAGGGAAGCAGTTCACATATAGTGATCAGGAATCAGAGAGAGAAAAACTCCACTCTCCGGATACAAAATATATACCCCATAGTCATGTCCCCACCATGAACCACTTCCTCCAGCCACACCCCACCTGCCTCCAGTTACCACTCACTTAATCCCATCAGGGATTAATTCACTGATTAGGCTAAGGCTATAACCCAATCATTTCTCCTCCAAACCTTGCATTGTCTCCCACGTGAGCTTTTGGAGAATGCCTTACATCCAAACCATACACACCCCCTGAGGATACCAGAATCTGAAGATGTGCTAGTCCCTTATACACAATGACAAGTATTTATAACATTTAAAATAACCTATGCACATCCTTCCATGTATTTCAAATCCTCTCTAGATTATTTTAAATATCTAATGCAATGTAAATGTTGTATAAATATTTGCTGTACTGTACCACTTAGGGAATAATGATAAGAAAACAATCTGTACATTGTTCGGTACAGACACTTTAAAAATATTTTTAATCTGCACTTGGTTAATCTTCAGATACAGAATCCATGGATGTGGAGGATCAAGTTACTAGAACAGTAGTCTCAATCTTGATTGCCCATTAGAATTTCCTGATAAAATACCACTGCCTGGGTATGGAATTCCACACCCAGAGATTCTGATGTAATCCTGGGATCTGTATATTTTGGCTCAAGGGCCAAATCTGTCTTGTTTTAGTAAATAAAGTTTTATTGGCACACAGCCAAGCTCATTCATTTGTATGTTGCCTGTGGTTGAGCAGCTGGGGACCTTGAGACAGAATCTATAAGGCCCACAAAGCCAAAAATCTTTACTGTCTGACCTTTCATGCTAAAGCTTGCTGACCACTAAAATAGGAATTTCTGCTAACTACATCAGCAGTTATTAAAAAGAAGCAGGCATCCGAATCATCTGGAAACTGTGCTCAAAATACAAGCCTGGGCTTCACTCCTGGAAATTTAGATTAAGATCTTAGGTGACAGACAGGAATTTATATTTTGAAAAGCAAAGCATTCTAAAACAGCTCCTGCTTAAAAGCCATGATGTTCCAGGACATAAAATCTTCAATGGGCCTTAAAGAATTAAAATTCTCAGGAGTGGAGGGGGGTGCCCAGTATTACCCAGTGCTATGCATCTCCTGGCAGTTTACAAATTTGAGCCTCTGATACTCATTGCCAGAAGTTAGGTCCACAAATGTGTGTTTTCTTAACGTATTAATAGAAGACGACACTGAAGTGGGTATGAGTGTTCAAATTCCCACATGGACCTGATTGCACTAACTGAAGCTTCTCTTTCTCCAGGCTGTATTCCAAGGCTGCCCTAATATTTTTAAATAAACATCCGAATTTCCCTTCAAGTTCACTGAAATTTCTTTTCCTGAAGTCACTGCCAGTCTACTTGGGAAAAGGAAGAAACTGAATAACAGTGGGAGTACTGTAAATAGACTATAAAAAGGACACCTACAACATTCTTGTGGAAGAAAACCAGGGGTGTGTGTTGTAATCAAGGCTCAAACATTAAGTTCCATTCTAGTCAATTTACAAACACTGAAGGAAACGTGTGCTGATTCCCACCATGGGAAGGATACCTAAGTCTGTCTGTACAGTCAGGAATTACAAACCAAGTCAAGCATAGCTGCTGTCTGGAAGTGCTCAGCAGGTGTCTCATGACGGCATATGGACAGCGTAAGACAGCACGCCGTCAATAACACACAGCCCCATGGTATGATCACAGGAGTCGGTTATGGGTAGGGGAAGAACTAGAGAAGAAGAGGAGGAAAGTAAAGGGGACTCAATATTTTTTTCCTACTGGGAATTGAACCCACAGGTGCTTTACCACTGAGCTACACTCCCAGCCTCTTTTTACCTTATTTTATTTTTAAATTTAGAGATGAGGTCTTGCCAAATTGTTAAGGATTTAAGTTGCTGAAAATTTCTTTAAGTTGCTGAGGCTGACCTCGAACTTGCAATCCTCCTTCCTCAGCCTCTCGAGTTACTGAAATTATGAACATCTACCACTACATTTGGCCCAGACTCACATTATAATAGAGCTCCTGTGAATCCTCACTCAAGTGCCACCCAACAACCCTATGACATTTCCCAAGCCCATTTATGTCCCCTTACTCCAGGATGACTCTCACACCTTCTCCCTCCTCCACCCCAAGTCCTCAGTCTCATCCTTACTCCTTGCCCTTGACCTTATTTCTGAGAGAGGAATAACTTAGGAGAGTTTCTACAGACACCCAATCACACATGTCCGTCCCTCCCTTAGTCCATGCAATCCGCCTTCTCTTTTTTCAGTTTTTCCATCTCAATAAAGGGCAACTTCTTCCTTTTACTTTTTAATTATGTTTTTTAGGACACTATAATTATACTTAATAGTGGGGTTCATTGTGACATGTTCAAACATGCGCATTACATAATTTGTTCTATTCCATTTCCCAGTGTTTCCCGCTTTACTCTTTGCCTCCTTCTACCTGGTCCCTTTCCTAATTTTACTGATTTCCCTTCAATTTGTGTTTTCATTGGTGTGTGATAATTATACATAAAGTGGGATTCATTGTGATAGAGTCATACATGCTTCATTTCATTCCCAAGTACCTCCCCTTACTTTCCTCTCCTCCCTCTCCATCAATCCCCTCTTCTCTGCTGTTCCTCCTTCTATTTTCATGACACCCTCCCCTTCTTTTAATTCCCCCCACCCACTTCTAGTTTTTTCATATGAGAGAAAAAATTGAACTTTTACATCCTGAGTCTGGCTTATTTCACTTAACATGATATTCTCCAGTTTCATCTATTTACTGGAAATGACATAATTTCGTTCCTATGCCTGAGTAGAACTTCATTGTGTGTATACACCACATTTTCTTTATTCATTCATCTGTTAATGGGCACCTAGTCTGGTTCCCTAACTTGGCTAATGTGAATTGCACTGCTGTAAACAATGGAATGCATGTATCACTATAGTGTGCTGATTTTAGTTCTTTGGGGTAAATACCAAGAAGTGGGATCGCTGGGTCCAGATGGTGGTTCCATTTTTAGTCTTTCGAGGAATCTCCACACTGCTTTCCATAGTGGTTGTACTAATTTGCAGTCCCATCAGTGATGTATAAATGTCCCTTTTCCCCACATCCTCAACAAAATCTGTTATTATTTATATTCTTGATGATGGCCAATCTCACTGGGGGGAGGTTAAATCTCAGTGCAATTTTGATTTCCATTTCCCCGATTGCTAGGGGATATCAAACTTTTTTTTCATTTATCTGTTGGACATTTTGCATTTCTTCTTTTGAGAAATGTCTACTTAGCTCTCTTGCCCATTTATTGATTCCTTAATAATGAGTCCTCTCTTTCCTTCATGCTCCACTCCCAGGTCAACAATGCCTAACAAAACCTCTGGGTTCTCTCTGGGGATCACATCCTCCATCAGTCCATTTCTCCTCTGCTCCACGGACACCACCTGGGCTGAGCCACCATCATCTCCTCTTCATGGATAACAGCAGTGGCCTCCATTGTGTCTCCCTGCTTCTCTTCTCTATCTGTAATTTGTTTTCCACACAGTAGTCATCAAGACCCATATATCCAATGTCACTTTGTGCACAACTCTCCATGCCTCCCAATTCCTTCTGAGGAAAGAGTGAGGTCTTCACAGTGCTGACAAGGGCCTGGTCCCCAGGGATGCTCTCCCTCACTCCACTGTCACACGTCTAATTTGTGGTTATTCACTGGACACTCCTACCCCAGGGACTTTGCGGTGGCTCCTTTCTATACCCGTCCATTTCAACTTGCAAACCTCACACTCCCTAACCTCTCCCTCTGCCTTATTTTGCCCACAGTGCTCATCGCCTGCACCCAGACCTTGAGTTACTATAAGAGTTCAGAGCTCAAACTCCTCTGTCAAGGAGAGCTCTCCAGAGGCCCCTTCTCTGCCACTACACCCTGGACATGGCAGGAGGAAGAGTGCTCATGCTCCCACACACCTCACACCACCTTGTCCCTGATGAGATGAGCAACACCAGGCCTCTGCAGGTGCCCTGGGTGGAGAGGCAAACTCAGGGGGTGAGCTGAGGATGACTGAGATGGGGCACAGAGGTGGGCTGTGTGTAGTGTGCCCCTACATTGGTACAAGCATGTCCTGAATGAGGTGGGCCCCTGGGCGCCACTAAGGATTAGTGCAGGAAATAGCCACAGCTGCAGAACCAAGCCTAGAGGCCTGCAATCTGCTCATTATGAATTAGTTTATATCTATGGTGCAAATGGCTCCCCGTTAAAAGCAGCACCCTTGTGTAGGACACAACTCTGAATGTGACAGTCAAACATATTAGATATTTTGTTTTGTAGTCACACACACACTAGTGTGTGTATATATATATAGCACTGTGGTACATGCCTATAATCCCAGTGACTCAGAAAGTTGAGGTAGGAGGATCACAAGTTTAAGGCCAGCCTCAGCAACTTAGTAAGGCCATAGGCAACTCAGTGATACCTGTTTCAAAAAAAA